TTTCTAGAGATAAAAATACCAAAAGGCCTACGAAGTAAAAAATCGTTTGTTTTTTTGTTAAATATGTTCATATTTTCTCTCTATGAAATAACCTGTGACACATCTATATCTCCTAGAGATCTCTTGATTTTATTTCGCCATACATAATTTTCAAATATACTTGAATATTCAGTTCTAATAATATATGAAAACCTGTATAAAATATTCCATAGTTTTCACATTGAATAATCAAGAAGTCTAAAAGAATCTTTTGTTTTTGTAAAATAAAATTTACATTGAACAGAAATGAAATAATTAATTAAAATAATAACATATGAAAATTTCTTATCGGTTATTTTTTTAAATGAATACATAATTACTTTGCATAATCACGCTATCTTATTTATTCATTGCATCATATACACAAAGTTTCACCTATAGAATCTTTTATTTCGATTAATTAAATAATTTTTTTTTTTTAAATTTTTCTTAAACAATAATTCAACATCAAAATAAAAATATCTTTTTAGTTCAATTGAATAAATAATTTTAAATAAATATAGTTTTCAGTTTTCATTTTTAGAGATATTTCTTTTTATTTATCAAAAATAAATATAAATAAATTATTTATATTGGTTTCTTCTTTTTTTTTTGTATAATTAAAATAATCCAATTTTTTTCAATTACGATAGAAAAATAATAAACAATATAGCATGATTAACTGTTGTCATTATATTTATATGAATGCAAATAATATAATTAAAAAAGTAGATTCATATTGAAAAAAACAATCTATATATAATTGAATAATAGTAAATCTATACCCTTAGGTAAAATATACTTTTCGTGACTATATGAATTAATAACTATATTGTTGAAAAATTTATTTTTAAATAAAATTATTCTTTTAAAATGAAAATTAAGAAATATTTTTTTTTTATATAAACAAATTTTCTTCTTTTATTTTATTTAATATTAATAATTAATTAATAAAAACAAAAAATTAGTAACATATCATATCTTGACGAAACCGACACGCTACGGAAAATAGATTAAATCCCATCTATAGCTATTGCTATTATCTTCTTGTTTTTTTATATCACCATTCCCAGTCAAATGTGAAAGTTTAAAAAACCACGAGTATTTACAAAAACTTGCTTTTACTTAGAAAATATTTTTCAAGTCGTAGTATCTTATGCATAAATTTAAACACATATATGGAAATACAATTTTTTAAAATTTTAATCAACACATATGAACCTGTGCATGATTCTTATCCTTGAACATAGTTGCATAAAACACTCTGATGTATTTAAACAAGATATATGACTTACATGTAAATGACAAGGTGTTATTAGTATGAATCTGTAAGATGACTAGAATTTTTCTAAATTTTACATGTCAATGTAAAAAGATTGTATTTTCGAAAATTATTACCAAAACGATTCTGTGTAGGCATACAAATTGTTGCCATTTTGTAGTGTGTACGTTGGTCCATGCAAGAATATAGGTTTTTTTTTATTTATCTCTTATTAAAATGAAATTGTTCTCATATATCTACAATATATTGGCTCAAAAAACTTTGTTCAATCATTCGAATTTGTCTATAATTATTTGTAGTTACATTCATACGTGCTTATTAATGTCTGTGCCAGAATTAAAGAGAAGTGGGTGTAAGCTCGATAATTCGATAACAGCAACAGTTATCAATATGCAACTTTCAGCAATCAAAAGAGGAGAAGGTCGCACGTCTTTTTATCTGTTACTGTATAAGATAAAATTATTTTAAAACGCATCATCGTCATAGAATATTCAAAAGTATGAATTTTTTTTTCGTATTGCTGTACTATAGATTGAAAATAAAGTTATAGCTATTTGATTGATTTTTCAGCATTTTAGTAAGGTGTTGATGGAGGCATCGAATTTCGATCTCAGATTTTGTCTATATGTATGTCTAATAATTATTACAAGATCTTCACAGTCTCTAACAAAATAAATGATTCCTTCTTGAAATATAGAAGGACTACAGTGAATAAGATCATTTTTCTGTCTTCAACAAAATTAATTTTTTTTGTTTGTCGATTTGCATAGGACATGATATTTAATGATATTCCACATGTTAAATTTTGTATAGCTGATCAGAAGATTTTTGGGACCTGTTGTCCCCTATGGAGATTGCTGGAAAACTTTTTATCTTTGATTCCGTTGAAACGTATATTCGTGAATAGAGTCAAGTGCACTGGCTACGAATATCAGTATATTAACGACTTAATACGTTTTATTAGACAAGAAAAACAATCCTTATCAGGTATTCCTCGAGCTTTATATCTAGTTTTTCGTTTGTATCTTTTCCATTGATTGTTCTAATGTCATGAAAAAAACTCGCAATAGCTAAAATAACGTAGTTTACTCCAATATGAAGTATAAACGTTCCTTAACAACATAATCCGCTATAAAAAAATCCGTTTTTCAGTCTAAAATAATAGTCTTGAAATCTCATACATGTGGAATATCATCAGGTATCATGTCCTACTTCAAATCGATACAAAAGAGTTCATTTTGTTGCTGGCAAAGAGTAACCTCATCCGTCCTCGTCCATACTTGGAAAACTCGATTTTCAAGACATTCTTATGAAATATGAATGGTATTTAAAAATCCGATATCCCGAACAGAAAGTATTTATTTTGACCAAAAATTTCAGATCGAAATTCGATGTCGAAAATCAATATCTTGCTTAAATGCTGAAAACTCAATAATATCGTCGTAAATTTAGAAAGAAGGTTCATTGATAGGCAAAAATTCAGCTCAATTGGGATCAAGCTGTTTGTATGAGTTTCATATTATCAACTCATTTATAAGATCGTTTAAATTTATTCGTATTTTTAGTCTATGATAATTTGAAGAACTTGTCTAATATAGAGAAATACTTAAACTGTTATAAAATGTTACAAATACTGATTAAAGAATAATATGAAAATCGAGGACTATTCAATCGAAAGTAAGAATATACAATTAATGATTTGTATTAATAGTTTAGCAATTTACTAAACATGATTTGGATCACCATTCTTTTTTTTTTATTGATCCATTCATTTTTAATATATGACATATTATGAATCCATTCGTATTAAAGGCGATGATATTTTATTACAAAATCTGTTTTTGCAATTTGTAAGTAAACAAAAATTTGTCAAGATTTTTGAACACTACATAGTACTAACCTTACGATCGATTAATAACACGAAAACAGGAGCAATATGATCAGCTTGAATCATTTTAAATCTTAAATTTGAAGTTTAGTGTAGAAAAGATACTATAAAATAAATGAAAATTATATATATTTAAAATCTTGGATCCACAAAGAGCACATGCGATTGATGAGTTGTAATTAAGAAAGTTCTTATTTCTCTCAAGATCGAAATTCTTATCAATTTCGGTCTGTTGTCTTTTCAAAATTGGATCTCCGACCGATTATATGATATTGAGCTGAAACTCTATAGATATATTGAGGTATCTTCTTAGCACACACGCCGAAAAAATTTCAGTTCAATTTCTTAGAGTCTGTCGGAGCAATAACAATTTTACAGTATATATCGGAAACATTGAAGAACTTTTCACACATCTAACGTCATTTGACTATTTCAAGAAATAGAATAAACTGTTCATTTTTTCATTTTGAAGCTTATTCTTAGAGCTAACGACTCTCGTAACCTTCTCTTTTTTAAATAGATCTTTATCGAAGAAGATAGTTGTTTTCATTATTAAGATTTAACCATTTTTCAAAGAATTTCCCAGTTTCATAAAATCATATATGTCTAAAAAAAATCTATAAGTAAGAAAATAAAAAAGGATCACGAGAGTCATCAAGCGCTAAGTATCTTCGTTCAAATAAAAGAAAAAAAAAGAAAATTGACTCTATCTCTTGAAGTAGTCGAATAGCATTGGAGTCTATGTATGGCTCAGCAATCTAAATAAGTACACAAAATTTCAGCTCAATACAATGTAGAGACTTTAAAAATCTATTCTGAACGGGAAGGAAACCTTCAATGGATATACTTTCTTCGAATTTTAATGTTCTTCATCTGATTCTTTCTACTTTTACTTCTCTGGAATACTCTAACACCTTTTGTGCACTTATTTACACTAAATGAGATTATTTCAGAAGATGAATGTTTTAAATATTAGACAGAAATATTTTAAGGCTTTTTTTCTTTAATCAACAAATGGAATTCTATTAATAGAACAAGCTATACTGAACTTAGATTCAATTAGCTGATTAAAAAAAGTAACATTCAATTACATATTTACACAGATACAAATGTTTTATAGAAGTACATTTTAGTGCTAGAAGCAACGAAGCTTGTAGTGTGTGTCGATAACACTAATGTGAATGCACTTTTTGTATTGCATGAAGCAGACATATTAATTTGTTTTTTTTAATTTTTCTTGAAACTTGTCTTATAATTCAAAGTCGTATTATATAAAATATGTACTCTGATAATGTTTATCTTTATATATGTTACGTTGTGTGATATACACGGAAGAAAACTGAGTAACTTAAGTTTATCTATTCTTTCGATGTTATCTTTATGTCAATCTATTTGATCCGATAAGTTATCAAGTTTTGCAAATAAAAAAACAAAACTGTTGTCAAATATATTTGTTAGACTACTTCAATGTATTTCATATTAAATATTTTCTTGTGAACAATTTAATTACGTCAAAAATGTACATGTAACTTATTTAAGTTATATTACAGAATTCTTTAAAATGTCTTCAATGATATCTTTCGCATTAAAAAAAAATTATCGCAATGTTTTTTTTTTTATTTACGACCTTTGAAGAGCAACACTATTTTATAGTTGATTGTTACATACGGCAAATGAAAAAAATACAGATAAAATGACCCAAAATATAAAATGATAAGAATATAATTATTTTTATACAGGTACAAAGGTAATAAATATAAATATTCACATATGATTGTACATTATACAAAATAGATATGTTATCAGTTCGAACTACATCATAGTTGGATATATTATTAAACAAATGAGTAATCCAATTGAACAACACATCACAGCTCTATTCATTAAATAGCCAGCTGTTAATGGTGTTGAAAAAGGAACGTTTCCATTAAATAATGTTGGATGATATTCCAGTTTCAGTAATATATTAGCAGTATTTATTATACTTTGATTTGTTTGTTCCAACTATATATATATATTTAAATAAACAATAGTCTCGTTTAATGATATTACTTGTTTATTTTTTCACTTACATAATCTATTACTGGCCAAAGTGTGCGACATTTAGGGCAAGTAAATTTTCCTAATTTCAACCATGATTGTATACATGTCTCACAAAATTTTTGTCGATGTCTACAAGTAATTAATGTAATATCAGTAGGCATCTGATCGAAACAAATTTCACAAGGATCATCATGTTTTTGAGAATATAATGTAGGTAACATACGCAATAGATTCATTGTTTTAGTAATAGTCGTTATGAACTAAATGAATCGATTTCGTATATGTTAAATGTTGCTAGTTGTTCTCTTTTTTACTCAGTCTTACTGGGAAAGAAAACGAATATGATGACTGTTTTAGAAAGAATAAAAAAATATTGGTCGAATTATGTCAATATGTGGACTATTGCGCAATAACAAAAAAGAACAACAACATTTCGTCCTCACTCACCTATGTTTATATGTATAAGAAGTGACAGAAAAAGAAAAAAAAAATAGCGCAGATTAAAAGCGACAGAAAAAGTAATGTTCTTTCGTTTTATAAACCATGAGGAGCAACTTGTTCGAAGGCTGGTAAAATATACATATTTTCCCAAACATGTGATAGACAAACAGATGCATGAAAACGAAAAAAAATCTGTAGTGGTGTTGCAATAGCAGATATAATTGACCATGGAATAGTATGATAAAAAGCTAATTGAAATGGATTAGCTTCATGTTTTGTTGTTGTTGTTGTTTCTTCGAACCATAAACTAAGATCAAGCATTATAAGTAATGTTATAATTTCACGTGCTGGATATTGAAGTTTACTTAATCGACCAATGCGTTTACGTAATGCAACGAGAATTAAAAATGCATGAACAGTTGATTCAATAAATTCTAAATCAAAAAAAGTAGAAAACTTATAACTAATTTCAATTATAATATACCTAAAACAACGATTGCTATTTTAAGATAAGCAAGCCATGTTGATTGATCTTTATTACTAAGTAATGCAAAAGCACTAAAAATGGTATATAAATAAGTTCCCGCTAATGCAACAATAATTAATACATCATCGAAACCTAAAAACACAAAAAAATAACCATTCAAAAAAAAAAAAAGATCAATATTTTATTCATTTCATACGTGTAGTCGTTCTTTTATATTGTAATTTTCGAATTTTCATTAATGCCCATAATGTTGCCGTTAAAGAAGTAAGTAATAAACTTAAATTAACAATTTCAACAATAGCAATACTATATAAAATTGTTGTGGGAGTTTTTGTTGTTGTTGTTGTTAATGGACTATGAGCTAATGATGATGAAGGAACAACTACGTGATGTAGAGTCGATAACGTCGTTGTTGTTGTATTTGTTATTATTATTCCACGAGAATGAACTCTATTATGAGGAACATTTCCTGCATGATTTGTTAATGATGATGCAGAATGTAAATCATCACCAATTTTATTTCGAAAAACAGCATAAAGAATAACTGATATGACTGTACACGAAAAAACAATCATACCAGCAAATAAACCTTTAATTGATGCATGACAATTAACCATAAAAACATTTTTTGTTGATGCTTTATCGGACATTTTATAAGCAAATGTTTTACCTATATTTTCCCATATGAGATAGAAAAGCTAAAATATAAAAAGATCACTTCTTTGAGAACAAGAAAAAAAAATATTATTTATGTAATATTTTACAGTTAAAGACATAAGACTAAATTCAATTGTACATGGATATAAAAGAGGTTTAAGTCTCATATAACCTTCATTAATAAAAGCATTCATTAGTCGAGCTTCTTCTATTGATTGTAGACAATGATATGGAACTGTTGATGAAGGATAATTTTGATGACTTGAATGATGACTATCTTTTCATTTGTTTTTTTTTTAATTAAACAAAAATATTTTTCTTGTAGAAAAGATCAAATTTATTTACTATTCATTGAATGACTACTACCACCGACGACGTTTACAATTGCCATTTCATGAGCACCTGTTTCTATTATTTGAGATTTTGTTTCAACTACAACCATCCGAAACCTCAATAAAAAAAAAGCAAGTCTTGCTAGATTTTCATTTTGTCACCTTGTAAAATTTAACAAAACATAAAATTAAGGTCTTTCAATCTAAAAATAGAGCTTAGAATCTACAGAGGCTAAAAATTCGACAGAAAGTATTTTCATCCTCGGAGTGCTAGAAGTGGTGACCGAAGGGGAAGAAGAATGAACTCAATGTGACCTGGCCCTTCCAGAATAGATGACATGCTACCAGATCGTTCTTTCCTCGGAGCCTACTCCTATCCTATTCACTTCGCAATGACGGTGTCTGATTATTTTTATTTTACTTGCTACCAGAGAAAGGTAAATGATGTTTCAAAATTCGGTTTTTCTCCAAAGTTATCACGAAGCTGCAAAAAATTGACAAAAAGCCGGACATTTTGAGGAAAGCATCCCTAATTGAGAATCCTGATCAGAACCGTTGTTTACTTCTGAATATTGTTATTTTGTTTCTACTAAGAGTATAACAAAAGTAGTGGTGAAGACACTTCAGAATCCTATAGGAAAATTTGAGGAAACTTTGTCGCTATATGCATTGATAGTAAAAACAGTGGTCTATATTTCTTCGCTCTTGTTCTCTCTTTTTTTTCTTTAAATAAAGAACAGTATAGAAAAATGTTCGATAAATGAATTCAAGAAATGCAAATATATGTAAATAATTAGATCGATCAATTCGACCATTTGATGAACTTATTTCTATATTTTCTTTTTATTTCACTGCTACTATTTTTTTTTTGTATACTGTACCATATATCAATGGTTAAGGATTACAGAAGACGAAAAAAAGAAAAGAGAAGACTAAAAAGAGGAAAAACACAGCGAAGACAATATGATCTAATGTTATCGTCACGTATGATGACAGCTAGCTCTTATCGAAATTTTATTATTGTGACACTAATTGAAGACAAACCTTTTATTTCGAGCTATCCACACCCACATCCTCTACTGCTTTCTTCTATAGGATCTCACATTTTTAATAGAATTTTATTATCAAATTTTGACCTGAAACTTAACATACACAAAGCTCTCATTTACTGGAGAATATTTTCAACTAATCAATCGCTTTTGAATTCGACTCTGAATCGAAAAACAATTGATCAATTGAAAACATTTCCACATTAAACTAGCATGTGTAGAAAATTTTAGGATATTTGAATGTAATCTCATCTAGATATAAAGTTTCATAATATCAATCACAATGGATGACTTCAAACATTTCTTATGAACTTCTCTTATAAGAATAAAAACTTCGATCTTTTCTTTGTCACCAGAAAAAAAATGGATTAGTTGATTTAGTTAAAATATAATAAATCTATTCGAATTCTTTTATAATAGGCAACTTTTAAGATATTGTATATATGAAAATTTTTTTTATACTATAAAGTAAATAAATAACATACCATACACATAAATTAGTAACAACAATATGCATAACAGCTAATCGAGCTAGACCTTCATGTGCTCGAATAATTAACTAAAAAATAAAATAATCGATAAATATTTTTCTATAAATTTTCTTTTGTTTTAAAATTTAATTTAATTAGATATACATACATTTGAATGTTTAAAAATAAAGAAGAATTGAATAAAACTAAATAATAATCTTGAACAATCATCCATAAGAGCTGTCCATCTTGCACAAGAACGATTTTCAAGATTACTTAATATTGATAAACCCGAATGTATAACAGTTCCAAGACAAAAAACTAAAAATCAAATAAATAATTTCTATAGATAGAATTCATTCGATTGTTTATTTCTTTTTCTTTTTCTTTCTGTTTTTTTTTTGTCTTACTTCCAATTCCAACACGTATATAAAGACCACCGGCTGTCGAATGATCATCATAATTATAACCCATAACACGTTGTACAATACTATCTTTTCGATGACGTACATAAGTTCGTAAATTATGTGCACCACCAGGATCTAATGCAGGACGTCTAGATGAAACACTTCGTGTTCTATTATAACGTTTTCTTACAACGTCTGATGATATTGCCGATACATCATCAAATGAATGTGATTTTTTATCAGTATGACGTAAACTTTTATCATCATCATCATCATCATTATCATGAGTTTGTTTATGTGAATTTATTTCATTTTGTTCATGACTATTTTCATTATCATTATCTTCAGATTGAAATTCATCAGAATCATCAAATAATTGTAAATTAAATGATGGTACTGGTGGTAATTGAGATATTTGTTGATTTAGTGATGATGTTTGACGTTTATTAACTAATAAATGTAAATTAGGATTATGTATTGGTTTATGAGTTGAATCTAATCTTTTGATTGCTTTTGAATTTATATTAAACTTCTGTTGATGACGAACTATATCGATTATACAAAAAAATATCCAAATTATTGATACGCAATAAAGATATGTAAAGTAAATCTATGATAAAATTGATTTTTTTTATTTTCGAAAGAAATTTTCTTTTTTTTTTTTGCAGATTTTACCTCAGCTAAATGTCGAATATTTCCAACTTGGTCTGGTGGTATAATAGCATGTGATATCGAAAAAGCCACACCAACAATAAAAATTACTATTAAAAAAATAAACAAATATCAAATCAGTTAGTTAAAGAATTTTTAATGAAAACTCGATAAATGATTTTTTAAAAAGAGATTAATGTTTAGGAATATCCTCTCCTCTCTCTTTTGACCTTCTCTGGTCTTCGTATATGGTACAACTGATCAAGTTCAAATAGGAAGTATTCCCCACAGGTAAAATATATCATTTTCGTTTTTGAGCTTTTTATCCGGATCCTGAAAGCCAAGACTTGAATTTTAGCAGTGAATCTTTACATATTTCTTTCATGAGGGAAAAAAAAAGAAGTAAGATTTTTGGAACAGCTTAACATTACCTCTGAGATATAGCCTTAGGTATCTTCAAAAAAAATTGTAGTTCACTAGAATAAAGCATGATGGAGGTCGTAAGCAATCAGAATGCTGCCTTATGAAAACTACATTTTCACAAAAAACTGGAAGAATTTTATTCTCGAGTACGTGTCTCCTTATTTTTGGTATAAAAATTTTAGACTGATTGGTTATATCGTCTTCAAGAACTAGAAAGAGTCTAAAAAGAGAGAATACCCTTAAGTCTACTAGTAAATAAAGAATTCATGTTTTCTCACTTGCGAATATAAAACCGAAAGTCAAAAGTATTTAATTTAAT